TAGTGACACTGTAGGGATAGAGTTATGCAACCCTTTTCAGCAACTACTTAGGTCAAGCAGTCTCCGTATTTCCTCCTACCGTCGATCGTATTCTCCTCAATGACGAAACACATGTGGTCGGTAAAAATTCAAACCGCGTTGACTTACGGACACTGGCCGTTGTTGGTATCAAGGCACCTTTGGAAAGGGAGCGAAGTGCTGCTGAAAAACTCTTGCAATTTCGGCAATGACTCAAAATCTACGTGGAACTATTCCGCCGGCATGCGTTAGCGGCAGCCTTTGCCGGCGGCACTAGTCGCCTACTTTACACTCGTGATGAATTCAACCAGACCCGGCACTTAGTCGACACACGCGCCGAAGTCAATTCGCTTCCTGTTACAGCAGCAGATTGATAGAAGGGATCTACCTTCAACTTACAGGCTGCGAATATACAATACATTGCAAACGTTGGTAGGAAATGCGTCTATCTGAAAGTAGGCTTACGCAAACCTATCCTACTCGCTGATGTCACAGTGCCCATCATTGGTAAAGACCTACTTAACCATCATGATTTACTCGGAGACGTCTGCCAAAAACGACTGATAGACGGTACTATTGACTGTCTATTAAAGGCATCACCTGGGTAGGCCATAGCTTGTCACTCGTTAAGAAACAGGCAATCTTTGATCCAACTTTCTAGCCGATTGTTGATAAGTACCCGGAACTTAATTGACCGTCTAATGATCTACCGTGCATAACCAGCAATGTTAGGTATCACATCACAACCTCAGGACAATCCGTGGCATCCAAAGCGCGACGACTTGTTCTGACATACTAGGACTCGCTAGAAATGAGTTCGTCTATATGCTTACCCTTGGCGTCATTCGGCCATCGAATAGCCCATGATCATCCCCACTGCATATGGTGCCGAAACAGGATGGTTTGACCCGTTGATTATTACCGGCGAGTAAACTCCAAAACAACCCCTGATTGCTATCCATTGCCTTACATAGACGACTTGACGACAACATTATCATGTGCAACTATTGTCTCGAAAATAGACTTGATTAAAGCATATGACCAACTCCCAATGGCATTACAAGTTATTCAGAAAAAGGCTGTCACTGAACCTTTCGGACATTTTAAATTTCTACGTGTGCCATTAGGCCTCAGAAATGCAGCACAAACATTCCAACGCTTCAATGATGAAGTATTTCGCAGTCTCGAATTTGTGTACACATACATAGATGGCTAATTCATTGTCAATCTAGACAAAGAAACTCACCTAAGACAGTTTGACATAGAGTTCTAAGGGCTACGCTGACATGGTGCAACCATTATTGGTCAAAAGTATCAGATAATTGTAGAATCACTCGGCATTTTAGGCCAAACCAGTGATTGCGAGGGTCTCCACCCACGGGCTAATAAATTTTATGCGATTCTGAACTTTCAGGAGCCACTGGCGACGGACATTTTCCTCACTTCTAACCGTTTGGTAAGTTGTCAATGACGCTACATTCCTAACTTTGCTTCTCTGATTCAGCCACAAAAAGACCTTCGAGGGAATAAAAAGTGCGTCAGACTTGACGCGCCCGCTCAAAATGCTTTCACTCAGGTTAAAGAAAAGCTGCAATTCTTATGTATCATGATCCAGCGGCACCGTTAGGCGTCTCAGTTGATGCACCAGGCACTGCAATCGTGGCAGTCCCGCAATGAAAGACTGTTCTCAGTGAATCCAGTCGAGACAATGGAAAGATGCCACAGGCTCTTGGAAAATATTGAACCCGGTGATCTCTTAAGGCCTGGAGACATTTATTCTACAATGATACGTGAACTTGTTTCACAAGAAAAATATAAAGCTGTGAGTTTTTCTTCTTTCAATAAGATACAATTAATTATACGTAAATTATTATGCTTGGTTATTCGATTTTCGGACAAAAGATATTAACGCTTTATACTTTTGAGTATGTCTGAGTGCTTCAGTAGAGACTCATTACAACTATTTTCACTTTTCGATAATTTCCTCATCTAGCTATACAGTTATTTATACACAAAGGATTTAAACAATGATGGTCATCGATAATATTAATGTTTTTTGAATAATATCGAGTTGTTAAGCTCTCATCTCCTCTTTACACGACCCCTTTCACGTCACCACCCTCAGGCTCACAACTCGTCCTTTCCCATTCACAATCCACCTGAATTGACTATAATCACACGACTGATTATTTCAAATAACTTTTTATAGTACAGGTGTGCATACAAATACTTTAATAATAACACAACACTCCAGCTGACTATATTATGTAGTCTTGAAAATAATATTGGAATATGGGGATGCAACAATGTTTGTTTCAGTTACGCGGAAAGTTGTTGGTTTTCATCAACACAATCACAACTGATCAATGATTGGAGACTAAGCAATATGGCTGTAAATGGATCGTTGCATCGCAGATGCGTGCATACTTCGTCTAAATCTTATTTGCAATACTGATATTCTCTTGTGTTTTTTCTGCTATTCTACGACACACTTCAATATCTGACCTTTCTTCTTTGTTATTTGTGCTGGCGGCTTGAACCGCTATGCAGTCAAAATAGGTGCTATGCTGACAGTATTTGCCCGCGTAAATTAATCTGCTGCCACACCTGTTGCTAAGTTAACTGCAAGTATTCAACAATTAGAAAGTATTTAAAAACATAAGCAGGTCTATTACTTAAGAACAAAATTTCATAACAAAATGTAGGCAATATGCTCAGTTAATGGCTACATCACTCAACTACTGCAATGTGTGCATAATGCCAGTTATCTGAAAACTTCTAAAATCAGATAGGCAGTGGTAGTGAAAATTGTACAAGATAATGCAACCCATTATTCCTGAACAGCTTAAAGTGAAACAAACACCAGGGTTGGTGTGTTTTCAGCTCACTTGCATATTTCATTTCGGCAAAATTACGTTGTGTACACATCGTAAGCATCTCATCGTGATGAAGCCCATAGTGTAGATGAGACTACAGAGAATTTGTTGCAAACAAGAGTTCCTTATTGGTCACGGTGATGTCATTTTAACACATAGCTAACTAAATCACGCGAACATCTAAATTTTCTCAAATTAGTTCCTTAGTACTCTTTTATTTCAGCAGGTGTTTACTGCAGATTTGAACCGAAATAATGAAACTAACAGGATCATTTTTGCAGTGAAAGCAGGTTGACTAGCTTTTTAGCTTCGTAAATTGTTAATTACCCCTAAGGGGTACTCTGTGTCCTGTTAAGTCAACGGATATGTTTACAGAAAGACACGTAGATTTCCTTGGGTTATTTATCTAATACATTTCCACGTAGCTACAAACCATCATAAATACAAACTAGTGTGAAAATAAGTCAAAGACAGTTAAGAGGCCGAAAAAGAACTCAGAGAATGAGGGTTATAGATTATTGATATGTTCCAAACTAGAAGATAACGATCTTAAGTTTATTACACTTTAGTCAAATCAGACTACGGATTTAAAAGCTTGACAGAAGCTTACAGAATAAAATAGGATAAGACGCACTACTAATTGATGTGAATGGCATGCAACTACTCGTCTTAATCAGTCAGTAGTATATGCAAGCAACTTTTTCTAACTAACAAGGCTATATTGCAGTCACTAATTACAATACGCCGTAGAATGTCGTTATACTTTCCGATGGATGTTTTGTGCTGAGGCATAACTTGTCTTAACAGAACACCTAAATTATAAAAACAGCTTCAACTCAGTGGTAATTAATACATAGCAAGGAGTCGTGGTGCGGATTTACGGTGCTTAATTCATTTCGAGGTAAGAACAATGAAAACAGTATGATTTTTAGTCAGAACTGTATTTTTACAAAATAAATGTCTGGTATGACTGGTTAACCAACACAACAATAAGCTGTATACACTGAAGGACGAAAATTCCTTGCACATATATGCCTACTTCGAATTGTCAAGTCACGTGAATTAACATTACCATAGGAATAGTCATTCAAAACGGGGAATCATCCAGTGCTGCTCTGAGTGACGTACAAGCATTCACTTTACCGAGTTTACACTACAAGTGACCCGGCAAAGTTAAACTATAGCGATCCATGGAACACGGACTCACGACTGACCTGGAGACGCCCAATCAGGTTTCTACATAAACAGGACGCTTATTTGCAAAAGAAGTACTAAGAATGACAATAAAATACATTCAACAGGATAATTTCCCTGACGTGGATTAAAAATATCACCTTCAGTTATTAAGTTAAACCAGGTTCAGTGCATATATTCGCCGAGGTGACTTGAGGACGAGTCCTTTTTGTGACCCATTTTATCGCTCTCATCCTGTTTTCCAGCCTTCGTCGAAAGCTCTCGATTGAATTAGTATAGATTCCAGTAACAGGATCGACAAAATCATCTACATAACTGACTTGATGATGGATGAAACCCAAATCTGATAGCCGACTACATCCGGCCCATTCGCCTGTATGAATAGTACTGCCAGGAACGACCCACCTTTGTATAATAGGTAGAAAAGTATGGGCACTACGATTGGGAATTACTTCCATAATTCCTCTCACATAATGCATGACATTATAAACAAATATTATTCTATGTTACCTACGCACTGTTTCAAGATTTAGACGGAATTTATCAGTACACATGCTTGTTCATCTCCTTAGTGGTTTAGATTGGATATTTCGTTTTTCAAATTCATATTTACACATAATTCGGAATTTTAATGTTTTTTAGGCGTTGACCTGTTTAGATGAAATGAGAGAGCGAATTGGAAATAATCATACCATAGCTCGTTATTTAGACCGCGGAATTTTGGGGAAAATTTACAAGGCACTGAACCTACCATCAACCGAAAACGATGATGAACAAATTCTTAAGAACGAACAAGAATCCTCAGACTCACCAATATTTGAAGACAACGTCGTCGATGCAAGTATCAGTGATGAAAATGATGATTACTGAATACGCTCGTACCCTGCCTAGCCAAACAACTATTCAACAAACTATAGTAAAATCAAACATATTTTCTCTATGTGTGCATAAAACATGAAAATTACAATTGTACACCTTTTTTTCTTAATAACCGGTTATAAGTTACAATGCTGCGGCTGCTTCTTTTTTCTGACGTTTTCTCTCTGCCTCTTCTTCTCGCTCTTTTTCGATGGCTTGAACATACTTTTGGATATCAGCATACTCCAGCATCTACAAAAAAATATATAATTTGCATAAGTGTTCAGAACAGATGGCAAGTCTCACTCTTTCAATTACAGTAGACAATGAATTTACAGTGTTGATTTAACCTGGACTGTTACCGAAGTCTATCTGATCCTATTAGATAATCTTTCGTACCGATAAAAAGTGAATAATTCCCAGTCCAAAAGTTTAGAAACTGTTCGGCTGATTTCTGTAATAAAGACAATAACTTTAGCCTTACATAAGCCGTAGCGACTAGTAACCAACGTTAGCGAAAGAAAAATGACCTCATAACTACTATATAAATCAGATCAAGAATCTTAGCTTATCATCCCAAGCTTAGTGTCTTATTCCGCTTCAGGTATCGAGCACTCAATTTAAAGAAGAGTACCAGTATCCTATCAGAAATAGTTGTCACTGAGTCATAGAATTAACAGATTGTTAACCATCTAAATAATGGCATTCCGAGTAAAGCTAAAAGGTAAATTGCGAGGATAACTCCGCGTCTAAATCGAAGTACGTGGACGGTTGATGCGTCCAAACTCCCATACCGTAGATAATTCCTTCTTGCTTTGCGTGACCGCGAAGCCTATGGAACAAATGCCTGACGAAAGTCAAACACCACTTTTGAAGTTGGAGTTTCGTCCTTACGCAAGAACATATCCCGATCTACCTTCCGCCGTAGGGTAATATTTACTTTTATTTATTTATTATTCCCTTGCGTTCCCAGTGGAACATAAGGCTTCAAAAACACATCTCCACTTTGTCCTATGTTCTGCCATCCCCTCCAACTGGGTCCACGATTTCCCATAATCTTTCATCTCCTCCTCACACGATCTCCTCCATGTCACCCTAGAATGACTCACTCGTCGCTCCCCACTTGGATTCCTGCATTGCACGCGATGTCATTCGACGGTCTCCTTAATTTATGCCCGATCCATCTCCATTTTCTCCTACATATTTGTTGAACGATCGGCTCTTGGTTTATGCCCACAGTTTCGTGTTACCTATTCTTTCTGACCATTTGATCTTAAGTATGCTGCCAGCGAAGGTAGCTGTTGATGAAAGTCTGCATCTTTTGGAATCGTTTTTCATGACACGCTGGCCAAGTTTTTTACCCGTATAGAAGAACTGACTAACTTAACATTTATGTTGAAAATCCAAATTTTATTGTTTATGCTATGGAGTGAAGAAGATTTCCAAACTGGTTACAGGTTGATGGCGTATCTTGCCTTTCCGATTCTGACTTCGAAATCTTCATCCCTACTGTGTGCTTCCTAGAAAAATGAAGGAAGTAAAATCTGTTAAATCTATCCCATTGATGGTGATTGTTGCTGGTCGTTGTTGATGATGATGATGATGATGGTAGTCTGTTATCTTCATCACCTCCGTCTTCTCTATGTTCACTTGTAGTCCTGTCCTTTCTGCTTCTTCAGCAAGTTTCTTACTTTTCGCCTGTAAGTCTTCGACTTTGTGTGACATTAGACACATGTCATCTGAGGAATCCAGATCTCCTAGAGTCTTCTTATCAGTCGTCCAGCGTATTCCTGACTCCTCGTCCCAACAGTCTGACGCATAATCCAGTCCGCCACAATTAAGAATATCATCGGTGATAATAGGCAGGCCATCATGTTTTACTTACTTCTGTTTCCATTTCGAATGTGTTGCTTATTTTCCGTTGTGGATCACCTGATATGTGGCGTCATCATCACATAGTTGTTGAATGAGTTCGATGAAGATTTTGTGCACTGCACGCCATAGTGTTGAAGTAGTTTCCAAATTACTTCTCGATCAATGCTGTCTGTTGAAGGCCTTTTCGAAGTCAATGAAGTTGAGGTAGAGGTTTGACTGCCATTCAATGCTTTGTTCGATAACGATGCGTAGAGTTGTTATTTGATCAGCACATCATTTGCCTCTCCTTAATGCAGCTTGTTCCGAGCTAGCGGAGTCCTGTATTTGGTACATCCCTTATTTTCTACAGGATGATGCGACTTAGTATTTAACTTGGCGTGGACAAGAGCCTGATTCCACACCAGTTCTTGCACAGGCTTAGGTCGCCTTTCTTTGGCAGCTTGATGTGGTAGCTTATTTTCAATCGATAGGCACCTTTCTTTCCTTCCAAACCTTGTGTAATAATGATTCGAGCACATCTGCCGCTGTCTTCGGGTCAGCTTCCACTGCTTCGGGGCGGGGGAATCCCATCTAGCCCCACTGCTCTCCCGACCGGTATTCATCAGCTTGGTCGCATTTAGGATTTTTTCTTCCGTTGGAGGATTGGTGTCCACTAGCAGTTCTGTGCGTGCTGTTGGTGGTATTTCTTGTCGAGTTGCAGGTGATGGTCGATTTAAGAGTCCTTTAAAGTTTTCAGCCGAATGTCTGATTTGTTTCTTCTTCTTCATAATCCTGTTTCCTTGAGCATCCTTTAATGATTGGTGTCTTTACGGATAGAGATCTGGTTATATATAATGTCCTGAGATTTCTTTCGTCTGCGGCTTGTTCTGCTTCAGTTGCCAATATGTCTTATTGTCTTTTGTCTTTCCTAGCACTCTTCGTCACGTATTTCTTTATTCAATGCAGTGTACACTGAACTCAGCTTCTACTTCTGTTGTCCATTTTTGCATTGAGTCATCTCTTTCACCATCCTGCTCTCCTCACTTCTATGAGCTTCTAGGTTGGTGTCCGTTTACAGCCATTTCTTGTCGTGTCTCTTCTTTCTTCCTAGAATATTTGTACACGTTTCCTTGAATATTGCCTTCAGAGAGTCCCAATGTTATTCCACGCAGGTTTCCTCAGTGATACCACGTAGTGTGTCGGTATTGAAAGCATCCCTATTAGTTTTGTCCTTCAGTTATTGAATGTTGAACTTGAATTGTGGTCTGTCTCCAGTTGTTCTGAAGGATTTCAGCTTCACCTTGAAGGTTCCTTGAACAAGATGATGGTCTGGGCCCATATCCGCTCCCATTCTCGACAACTAAATATTGATAATAAGGTTTATGCAGGTGATAAGAATAACAAAGATAGTATATGTATATAAGTGTATAAATAAATTGGGTCAAATCTTCAAAGGTGAAGTGGAACGATAATCAGAGTTTAAATAAATATTATAAAAGTACAAAGGAGGTGGAAAATAAGAAAGGGTGGGAGGGTTTTGAATACAGTTCACCTAGGCCAAGGGAGAGACAAAGGTAGAACAAACTTCTTTTGTATGCAAAGACTAGGATTGTTCTCTCGAATTCCCATAGCTTCGGCTAGGTGTAAAAGACGGTTTCTGATTCCATTCGAAAGACTCGATGGAATACGATAGATAACTTTGAAAGCACTATTTTTGTCCACTTGGTGACCGCTATCAATCAAATGAGCCAAAATAGAACTTTGTATGGATTTTATTTGACCTTTTCCGAACCATGAAGGAAGATGCTCATTAATGCGTTTGTTGAGCTGTCTAGTTGTCCAACAGGCTGCGTATCCACTTTCTTCAGCAACATTGAAATGAAGACCATCTGGTTTGTGGTGTGTCTGTCAGCCGAAATCCATGTTGCTTTGTGTATATCCTTGTGCTTGTACACGCTGGATCCAGTCACCAGACCATTGAAATTGCAGAAGTTTGAGAATAGTTCTCCGTTCTCATTCATTTCTCCGAGAGCCTCTCGACCCATGATGAGTTCTCTTCTTGTATTATCTGCCCCCAGTTTGACTGACATTTATATTGCCCATAAGGATTTTGACGGCACCATTTGGGATGTTGCCCATTACTGTATGTAGTTGTCTGTAAAAATCTTCCTTCTTGTCTCGCTCCAGGTTGTTTGTGTAGCATCGGATTATTGTGTCCCTTCTTCCTATTGAGTTGAATATTGCTGTCATGATCCTGGACGATATTGGTTCCCAATGCATCAGAGCTTTGGCTGCCGCTGGAAACATCATTATAGCCACTCCCTCAGAATGTTCGTGGTTGTCGTCCGGGTGGCCGGAATAGATTACTGACTCTTCAGTTGATAATTTGGATAATCCACATCCGGTCCATCTGCTTTCGCAGATACCCAGCACTTCTATGCCGTATTTTCGCATTTCGTTGGCTACCTGGGCAGCCTTCACAGACAGCTTCGTACATCGTACGGACATTCCACGTCCCCATTCTTATGCCTGCTTTCATTGAGAGAAGACACTTCGTCTGTGTGGCTTCCCGAAGGCTTTCATCAGCCCGCGTCATCTCGCCTCTTCGATTCGAGCGAAGAATAAGATGTCTTTAAATTTTTTGTATTTTAAATATATTTTTGTGTGTTGAAGTTTCTCTAGCAGTTTGATAGGTTTAGTGATTTAGGGTAGCTAAGCATACGCCCAACCCTCCCTCTATAACCGGGCTTGGGACCGGCTAGAAAACTAGTAAACTAGATGTTAGCGTAGGGTAATTTAGGGCTTAAAAGTTTTCGGCGTTGACCTATTATATTCCGTTCCCCATAGTTGGGATTATTTGTTTTCATCGAGGGAATCCACACAGGATTCTAAGATAAAGTAATGTATTACTACGATTAGCAGTTCTTATATGAGAAAGCTTGATTTCACGCGCGAAAAACAGCCGTGTATCTATTTGTAAGAGCATTAAAAAGGCAGTTACACTAAATAACTCAACTAAAACATTTCGACGGTGACTGAGACATTAGTATGCATTCAGTATACTAGAGATATGTAGACAGTAAATTGTTTGCAGTTAACACCTTGAAAAATTCATTGAATCGGCAAAATATATTCACTATTGTAGACCAGTCTTATCGCTCCCAGGTATTCATATCGGAAATACATAGAACAAATAACAGAACAAAAACAATTGCTTCCAAACTGCGCATCTAACCACCTGATTTTAACATGTACTATACATGAATATCAAGTAATAATCAAAGTAACATGTTAACTCATACATTTCAGAATTCCATTCTACGTTTTGTGAATGGTGAAAACTGTGAAATATAAGTAAACAACGAATGACAAGACTAGATACTTATCGAATTCCTACGAAAATTCTTTTCAGGTGATGCTATTTTAGATCTACTTTCATCTTAAGTTGTAGATCGATCGAAGTTTGCAGGAATTCCTGTCCACCCTATGTAATAATTACGTGGACGTTTACAGAAAAATAGCAGGAGATGCTACATCAACACATCGGCACAAGCCTTTTAGTTATTTAGGCATTATAAGTGTAAACTTTGGAAAATAAAAAGCTGAAACAGGAACTGTAACGTACTTGCCAGTCGACAAAAGAATCCCCAGGCTTTGTCGGTGCTTTCCATCTCATTACAGCCAACTCCATGTGTTTGGCACCTGATTGAACTACTTCCATAAGGGCTTTGACTGCAAGCTTCACAGTTCCATATTCATCTGATACAGCCTCTTCAGTGTAATTCTTTTCCAAGAATTCACGCGCTACTTTCGCATTTTTACCGATGGCGTTGGCCTACAAGTTACTTGAAATAACTAGGACTTACCAACCACTCGAAATGAGTCCCAGAAGGGTCGGTCTGGTACAAATGTGGTGTGCCATCTTGGTTGAATCCACATATTAAAGTCGATACGCCAAAAGGACGACGACCATTACTCTGAGTGTATTTTTGCTTTAATTGGGCCATGTATCTGGAAATATATTCCAAAGAGACGGGATCCTCAACGGTCAATTTGTAACTTTTGCACTCCACTCTAATTCTACTTATCAAAATCCGAGCGTCAGCAGTGAGTCCTACAAAATCAGAAGGGAGAACACATTACCTGCAAAGGCCACTGCAACGTGATCATCCACAAGAGCTATTTTTCTAACGGTTCTGTCATTCTGTAGCCTAGTTGTTGCCTTCTTTTCGACACACAACACAACACAGTTTTTTCCTCTGACACCAATCTACGACGAAAAGTTTGCGATTCAAGAGGTTTACTTACTGCAGTTGAACCTTTCTTAACTGCCTCTTGAGCGTATTCTACTTGGAAAAGATGACCATCAGGAGAAAATATTGTAATTGCTCTGTCATACTTCGTTGTCATGACGCAGAAAAACGGTGACCACACTAATCAAAGTAGCGCAAAATTATATTTGGCGGCATGTGTCCTATTCATTTCGAATTCAATCGACTTTCAATCTTCAATTCTGTTAGCATTAAATAGCAAAATTCATGTCGCTTTACCTTTATTCTCAAAAAATTTGATTTAACCGTTTGACTTCTAGAGCTGACAAAAGAATTTCTGTAACCTATTCAGGGGAATGAGTGGTTTTTAGGTACTTGTAAGGTTTCCACGGTAATTACAGCTATTACTTTCGCTCATGTATATGCGTTTGACTGAAAGAAGAACTAGGCAGAGCTCCTCAAGAAAAACAGAAGTTAATAAATGTACTTAGAAGAAATATATCAGAATAATGTACTACTAAACTATTACTTGAAAGGGTATTAATAACAGTCTGTGATGGCTTTAATTAGCTCTTCTGTCTGCGCAAATTTGCAGGAGATAATCAGTTCACTGATCCACAGTGTGTCTTACTAAGCGCAAGCATGCTTGTGTTATTTTATACTTCGTCCTTTGCAAAAGCCCATAATACGTCTGGTGATAGTATGTATTTTAAAAACTTGTGGCGGTAAATAGTTCCCTGGAACTATTAGTCTGCAGTATTCTTCTTCTTCAACATTAGTCTTCACTTTGTTTAGATCGACTTGCTAAGCTGAAAGTAATCGATTTAATTCGCTGTTACGTTGCGTTCGGTAGTATAGCTAGAATCACCCCTCTAAAATGCTGATCCCGTAACATATCTCGTAATCTGGAGGATCAACTTGTTTGAATTTTCTTTTAGCCTCAGTAAAACAAGTACTTTGAGAGTAACGGAATAAATACATTTTCACAGAGCATATTTTACGTAACCATCGACATCCATCTCCTGAAAACTGTTGGGGAGTTTCGAAATTAAATCATCAACCTGACGTGTATGATGTTCATAAATGTATGTGCAAGTTGCTTTACGCAGATAAGTGGGACGTTTCGTAAAGTTATCTTCAGACAACTGGTTTGGAAATATAATACTCAAAATTTGTTCTATACAAAGTAAATCAGTTCGGGTGACAAGCAGTCTGTCAAAATCATACTTAAATGTCACCATTCGATACTATGTTTGTTGTCCTCATTTTCTGAACTGACAGTTTCAATACTCTAACAAATTCTCTGCGAATTCTCTCGGTTACGTAGGGGATCAAAGAAGTTCGTCAAGTCAGTTGAATCAAGGTGACTTAGCTGTCAACGAAAAATCGGTTTATCCATGGTGAATGAAACATATGGTGGTCAACGTAGCTTGGCGACTGCATTGTTGTGTGATTGTGCATTTCTATAATCCACTCCTATTATCCCTAATAAATACACTTTTGAGCAGCCGTGGAAGCAATATTCTCCCTTCGCCAGTTGGAACGCTGTTAAGAGCAAACTAACCACCAAGTTAGGTGAACCAGGCTGAAGAGTCAGTGGGTAGTGTTGCTAAAGATCGTGTCTTGCAAAAATAGATGACTGCACAACAATCATGGTCGTTATTTCTGATCGCAACCAACTGGAAGTGCCCTCGCAGTCGTTCGAGCAGCGTAAGTAACACGTTTCCTAGAGATGCACTGCTTACTTAGACTAACATATTAGTCATAGGTACTCGTTTGTGGTTGGACTCGTAATAGTCTCGTAATGTTGATTCCCCCACTACTGTTTCCTTAGATAATCGTAAAGCCTTCAGCAGATTCAGCAAGAAATATTTGGTCTACAGGAATGATGTTCACTGGTGCCTACAGTGGTTCATTTCCAGTGCCTCTGAAAAATTCGCATTAGTCCTTCATCTTACGATTCAACAACACGCGCCAGTACAGAAGAAACTTGATAGGCTGCAATGCCACATGAAGGTAATGGGTAGGTAATCAGTGGAGAAGTGAGTAATTAAGCATGGATCACTCTCTTATTTCTTGCACCAGTTGTTGACCTTTATTTGGCGATGGATAGTCTTCCCGTGTAAGCACTTGGTGTCTAAACTTCACCATAAATGTGCCTTTAAATGAATGCTCAGTGACTGATGAGATTTCTGAATCTACTTACTCGGACGACCTCTTCACTGACACTGTTGATTGTTGTTCTGTTGTTCCAACTGGCGATGCACTAATCTAAAATCCTCACGAATTAAATTGACATGAAAGTCTTCGAAAGCCGCGTTAAGGAAAGAGAATATTTTGCCTTCAGCTACACCTGTTACTTTTACCTCCAGTAGCACCCACGTTGGAGGTGCAAGAAGAGTCACTGATAAAATAATCTCAGAGCCCAACTACACTGTGCCGAATTTGTGTATTTATATACTCTCAGTACTCCATTACCTTAATACATCCTACGAAAGACGCAAAAATTACATCCATTCATGGTGTGTTTTATGGTGTCAGCAGGGAATATATTATCAAGAGCCAAGTAAATAAGTTAGGGTAGTCATACAACATTTGCCAAAACATGGCAATAACGGTACCAGAAAGTTTTGTGATAGCTATAAGATAACTCTCTGGAACTCGGAATACTATTTTATATATATAATGAACCACTCCATTTAAATGTATACGGTATTAAAAAACAAACGGTAGTTTTGAAGACCTACTGATCCACCAAAAACAAACCAGTATTACGAGTTAATTCCACAGCAGTTTTACCGTGTGATTCACAGCTGGTTGCTATTAATACGCTAATGAAGTCTACAAATAACGTCAGCATAGTACATAGTGATACCTCTGATTCTATTGCTTCGGTCTTCAGACAACCAGAAAACATCTAGGCCACGAACAGGATTGTGGCCTTCAACAAGCAGGAAACTGGTCAGAATTAACACATTCATTGAACTTCCCATAAATGTTCACCATCGCTAACAGCACTTTTTCCCTGTGAGACAGTGGTATACTTTCTCTCTGTTTCAGGAAAGCAGGAGTGTGGTCCGGTTTTGAGAGGAGCCTGGCAACCACCTTGGGCGAGCCAGGCTTAAGAGACAGCTCGTAGTGTGGCTAAAGCTCAGGTCTGACAAAACATATGGTTACACAGCAATTGCAGTCGTTGTTTTCAGTGGAGGTCAATCGTAAGCGAGCTCGAATTAGTTCAACCATCCTAAGTGATAGTAATAGTATTGTAGCGGTGGGTGATCCCCAGAATAATTGGCCACATCATTCATTACTGAACACTGGATGCTGACCCTCACTGTTTCAGTCGATTTGTTTAGCCGAAAGCTTCCGGTCAAGCACCCACGCCATTTGGCACGCCGTCGTGTTACGCTTGTTCGTGCACGATCCCCGCACTCCGACTTGGTCCCGAAATATATAACTCGTAATTTGGCCGATCAATTCCAGTGTTTTGCTTCGCCTTTAATCCACGCGAAACAAATGCCATAGACGTTGTGGGTATAAGATCTTGCGTTAGTATACTTCGTATCACCCGTGAACGTCAACACCCTTAGCCTATAGACTGGTGGTGAACTTCATCTCTGGTAGATACATAGACAAATCCGGTGAGTTCATTCGATTTCGTACTTGTTCTTCTTCTACTTTCAAAGTATATATATTTCACTATGAATAACCATACCCCTAAGGTCATCTACTATCAAAACTATGTAGCTCGTGCCATCTCGGCCGGATAATGTGAAATTATGGTTTCAAATAACTGACTCATTTCAGTCAGCATGGGATCACCGACCAACGTTCACGGTTTCTTGCAGTTTTCCACGCTCTACTGCGCAACTTTGCACATATCAAGCGCAGAGGTAAGTAACCCGTATGAGGTGCTCAAAGTAGCCCTCCTAACGAGAAAATTCCTTACGGGCTGGCAGCGTCTTGACGAACTATTTTGCAACGTGGAGTTAGGTAATCAGTCGGCTGTGAGCATGCTAACGGGAATGTGTGAAGTTATCCGCAAACGATAGTTTGATGAAGGACTCTTCACAGAGCTGTTCGTACCCAAATTACCACAGTCAGTACAGGCTGTGCTTTTGACACTTCAAGGCGTTATTATAGACAGCTTAGCTACTTCTGCCGATAAAATTCTATAAACAACACAAAGCCCAGTCACAGAAATGTGCTCAAGTGCTAAGCAGACTTCGAGTAGTGACACTGTAGGGATAGAGTTATGCAACCCTTTTCAGCAACTACTTAGGTCAAGCAGTCTCCGTATTTCCTCCTACCGTCGATCGTATTCTCCTCAATGACGAAACACATGTGGTCGGTAAAAATTCAAACCGCGTTGACTTACGGACACTGGCCGTTGTTGGTATCAAGGCACCTTTGGAAAGGGAGCGAAGTGCTGCTGAAAAACTCTTGCAATTTCGGCAATGACTCAAAATCTACGTGGAACTATTCCGCCGGCATGCGTTAGCGGCAGCCTTTGCCGGCGGCACTAGTCGCCTACTTTACACTCGTGATGAATTCAACCAGACCCGGCACTTAGTCGACACACGCGCCGAAGTCAATTCGCTTCCTGTTACAGCAGCAGATTGATAGAAGGGACCTACCTTCAACTTACAGGCTGCGAATATAAAATACATTGCAAACGTTGGTAGGAAATGCGTCTATCTGAAAGTAGGCTTACGCAAACCTATCCTTCTCGCTGATGTCACAGTGCCCATCATTGGTAAAGACCTACTTAACCATCATGATTTACTCGGAGACGTCTGCCAAAAACGACTGATAGACGGTACTATTGACTGTCTATTAAAGGCATCACCTGGGTAGGCCATAGCTTGTCACTCGTTAAGAAGCAGGCAATCTTTGATCCAACTTTCTAGCCGATTGTTGATAAGTACCCGGAACTTAATTGACCGTCTAATGATCTACCGTGCATAACCAGCAATGTTAGGTATCACATCACAACCTCAGGACAATCCGTGGCATCCAAAGCGCGACGACTTGCTCCTGACATACTAGGACTCGCTAGAAATGAGTTCGTCTATATGCTTACCCTTGGCGTCATTCGGCCATCGAATAGCCCATGATCATCCCCACTGCATATGGTGCCGAAACAGGATGGTTTGACCCGTTGATTATTACCGGCGAGTAAACTCCAAAACAACCCCTGATTGCT